GGAGAAGACAAGAGCAGCCTCTGATTTCTCCAAACCAGCTGTGCACACCGAGCGAGGGAAGGGCAAGAGGAAAAAAGTTTGAGTGATGCCTTTGCCTTGTGAATAATGAACAGTTCAAGGAGGTCAACCCATTACAACTGCAACCGTTTAATTATTAATTATGCACAATCTATGAGCAAAAGGACAAGTTCAGAATGTTTAATGGGTGGTAACTCCGACTGGACCCTCTCTTGGCATTTTGTTATTAGCACTTGTCAGCAAGGTGCTCAGGCAGAAAGACAAAAGCACAGCGGCAGAAAATCCGGGCTGGAGGAGGAGGGAGGGTTTAAACTTCAAACACTGCTCCTAATATTTAATTTATAGAGTGCCAGGGCTCTGGTATAAACCTTATTGACTTCCTGGAGTCAGGGGAAGCCACATTATCTAAATGAAGGCCTGAGAGTGAGAGCACTGAACAATCCTCCCGAATCCCTCTCTTCTGATGGCAGCAATAACATCAGGACCTGGATCTTCCTTTTTTCCCTCACAGATCTGAACAAAGGAAGAAAGAACCACCTAAGAGCATGTCCAGAAGCCAATCCTTTGGAACCTTTGCAATATGAGCTTGAATTACAGATCCCAGCATTATCCTCACTTACTCCTCCAACTGATTACTTGGAACTTCTGCTGCTCTTTTTGCTCTCCCTAGGCACAGATGCTACTGAGGCTCAGGAAATAAATAATGTCCAGCAAAACCACAAATAAACATGGATAAGGCACCTTCCTCCTTTTCCTGTCCAGCTTGCAGGTTTACATGGATAACCTCAGGAAGAAAATTCAACAGATACAGTTTGGAGCTGCTTATTTTGGTTTGGAAACACTCTCATGTCAATGAAATTTGGGAGTCATTTCTGACTGGCAACAAACACCAAAAACCCTATATATATATATATATATATAAATAAAATCCATTTCCAAAATTAGATTTACTCCTTTCAGACCAACTTTCTTCCACAACATTCCTAAAAACCCCACTGTCTATATAAAAAACAAAATCAAAGCCCGACTTTTGATTTACACTTACAACTTTCTTCCACAAAAAANATTTTCTTATGTTGATATTCTATTTACATTTTTATGATTTTTAAAATCAATTGAAAATTTTTAAAATTTTAATTTTTTATCAATTAAAATGATTAAAATTAAAAACTATTAAATGTATCAACTTAAACATTGTGTGATAAACTGTATATGATCTCTGTGGCAAAGCCACTGACATGCTGGAAAACCTGTTCTCCTCTGGTATTATATTTATTTCAATGCCTAATACAATTTTGAAATTTCCCATTCCCATGCATCCAGCAATCCCCCTCCCCATTCCAGGAATGGCTCTGGACTAAGCACCCTGATTTTATTGGCTGTAATGGGTATTTTTTTCCTGGATAAACAATTAGTTTGTATATTTAAATACCTTAAGACATGTGTCAATATATTAGAGACTCAGAAATGCATTCTGGCTGCCTGTTCCCACATCCCCAACAAGTCCAACAAGGGAATTTAAAACAGGAACAGGAGTTTAAACCTTCCCTGGGTTTAAACAAGAGTTTAAACCTTCCCTGGGCTGCCACAGCACAACTCCTGAATAAGCACTGCCCTGAGAGCCAGAAAAAGTCTGTGTTTGTGGCAAAAAACGCAACAGCAAAGGGGAAAAATCTCTTTATACAGGAGAATTGTTGAGTTTTTCATGTTAGAAAGGAGGGGAGAGACAGAGAGGAATGTGCTGTGCAGCCCTTCCTGCAATAATACAGGAATATATTCAATTTAACTGGTTCTCTGCCTTTCTTTTTAGAGGGAACAAACTGGGGATAAAGGAGCAGCATTTTAGAGCAAGTTCAGGATGACCACTGGTAAATTCTGAGGCTGTTCCTTCCCCTGAATGGACAATTTTTTTCTCATTACTTGGTGAAATTCCTTATTTCACTGCTGTGGAAGAAGTCAGTTGATTTGACTTTGTACATCCAGAAAAACCAATGGGATATCTTGTTTTGGGCATGGCTGCAGGGAAGAAAGGGCAGTGAGTAAATAAATAATAAAATAAATAAAACCAGGAGCCTGATCCACCTGCACATGGACATCTGTGGTAATGAAAAACCTTTGACTTTAAATAGGAATTTCATCCAGCCCTATTTCCTGACAAAAATGGACATTTTTATTTTATAAAAAAGAGCTTTTTGCATGACAGGCAGTGAGGAAATCCATCCCAGGGCTCTAATACTCCAGGTATTGGCACTCAGCTCCTCAAATGCACCTAAAATCCACTGATTTTCAGCAGAGGAGGGGAAGATTCATCTCCTGCTCCCTTCCTTTTGCTTTCAGTCCTTAATTATCCCAAACTGGTCACAAACCAGTGACTCCCAGCACAGCAGGGGAGGAGAAGATGCTCTGGTTTGTCTGCAGGTGAGGATGGGTGTGTGTGACACCTCCCAGCATTGCTGGAACACTGATTTAATTCAAATAAACCAACCCAAAGTGCAGTGAGCAAGGTGAAACCCTGCTCTGGCTTGAATCGGGGAGAAGGTGACCTTGAGGATGCAGCAAGATGGAATTCCAGAATTCCCAGGATTTCTGTGCCCAGGGAATGTGGCACTCGCTGCTCTGCTCAAGGTGGGGCTCAGATGGACTCCATGACCTTGGAGAGCTTCTCCAACCTCATTAATTCTGTGATATTTAAAGTTTTGGGTTTTTTTCTGGCCCTGTTTTCCACCAATTATAAATTAATTTCTGCTTACATATTTAGGCACAGATATGCTGTGTGTGTATCTGTGTACACAGACACATAATGCTAATGTATATATTCATATTAATTTTATAAATAAAGTGCTCCTTGAGAAGACTGAGGAAAAGCAAATATATAAAGGGTTTGACTCTATAAATATATAATAGAGAAACAGAAATTAATATATAAGCATATTATGTAAATAATATTAATTATATAAAACATTATTAATTATAATACAATAGAAAATAAATCACACTATATAATATAATATAACATAATATAATGTAATGTAATGTAATGTAATATAATATGTATTATAATTAATATAATTAATACTTAATTATAAATACATATTTATCTATAATATGAAATAAAAATAGAAATATATAAATAATATTACTTATACCCTCTATAATATAAAGGAGTGAGCAGCTCCTGTTTTACTACTCGTTGTTGCAAGCTCATTTCTAACTGACTAAAGAGGAGGTGGGAAAAAAACGCATTAAATTGTTTAAAAAGTAAGAACTCTCCTTTTTTATTTTTTTTTTTTTTTATCCCAGAGGCGCTGGAATTTCCAAATAATTTCACAAAACACCTCCTTTAAAGGGGCCCAGCACACTGCAGGGCATGTAGTTGGAAAGATAAATCTGTGCACTTCCCTGCTACTGCAGGCACTCACCCTTTGGCCTCATTTTTATGGCTCTACACCCTGGAGTGGTGTTATTGCTCACAGCCATCCCCACGCACACTTTGGGGGGCGCTGGGAGCTGCAGATGTTTTATTTATAAGTGGCAGGCCTATTGCATCACCAGAGTGTGCATTTGCAAGCAGAGAGAGGTTTGCTGAGAGCCCATTCCATTGTTTTAATAGCTGAGGCACCCAGCCATGGCAGAACGGAGCACGAGGTAAATGCGGCTGCAGCTCCAGAACCTGCTCCAAGTTTTCTCAGATGTGACTAACTGCAAGAATTCCCCAGCCATCAAAAGTTCATCAAAAAGACAAAAATCGGCCTTTGGTGGCAGAAAACCCAAAGTGGAGGGGCTCTGATAAAACTGAAGGTTTCATTTCAGTGAGGTATTTAAGCAGGTGCCCAACCCCAAGTGCAGATTTGGTGGTGTCAATATCCCTAAAATGAGATTCACAGTTAAATACCTCCTAACCAGGAAAGAGACGGGTCTGGATTTGAGACACCTGCCCCTGGGCATCTTCACAGATTAGCCTTTAACTAGAGAATTGCTGCAGGAGAAAAATAAACTTGTTTATTCTCCCAGAAGCAGTGAGAATATTCTCTTTCTTGGAAGCAAGAAATGAGAGGATGCACCGGTGTCTTGGGCTTGTTAAAATCCCTTACAATTATTCCTATATTCCAATTATCTCTGTATATTTCATGCACAGATGTATATTCATTTCAAATATATATATTGAAATGTATATTTCATTTCAAATAAATCGTGATGGTTTTAGAGAAGCTTTTGAGTTACAGCAAGGAGAATATAAAGGAAAGTAAGGAAACATTTTAAAATTAAAGGTGTTTGACACGAGCCAGAAGGGATCGGGAGTCTACATAAATTGCTGTATTTGGCAATAATTAATAATTGAAAAATGACAACTGCACAAGAAGTGGGCTCTGAGTTCAGATTCCAAGCCCTTCCATGGGCACACCTCACCAAATATTCTCATTCTCCAGCAGCCCATCTGGCTTAATTTTACATGACCATCACTGAAAACAGTGTCTCTTGTATTTCATTAAAATACATATTTTAACCCCACCCTCTGTTTGCAATCCTCATTTTGGGAAGGTTCAGGCTGGCAAATGCTGACAAGGAGTGACCTACATTAAGCTGTAATCCCTGGACATCCAGACTGCAAGAAAATGTGTATCAAGCACCAAAATGGTTTTGACTGAAACTCAATAATGGCTGTGAAAGTTCTGATTAACTCCCCAAATCACAAGTGAAGGCAACAGCAAAATCCCCACCAACTTCAGAACCACAACTCCACCCCTGCTTTGGGTGCAAATATGGAACTGCTGCACAAGCAGGAAGAGTTCAGAGAGAAATACACCGAGCACACTGAAAAATGAAGGAAAAAAAGAGAGAAATTTCTATGTAAAGGACGAAAAAATATTCACTGACAAATCCAAACTGAGGTTTCACTCACCATTAAATCTTCAGGTGCTGGCCTTTCCTTCGGCTGCTTCTTCATGCTGTGTCATAAAACAAAATGTTCGTATCAAAACAACTGCTGGTTGACTTGAAATGTTGAAAGATTGAATTGTTTTATTTGAAATCTTGAAAGATTGAATTGCATTTTATCCCTTTTATTACAGAGTGAAGAATTTCAGGGTATTAAATTTATCAGGTGCTGATGGGAGACAGAGCTCCTAACAGTAACCAAAATAGCAATTTTGGGTTTTTCCTCCCTCCCAGCCTTCCCTTAGGGGGTGCAGGGCTCCACACTGTTTGTAACCATGAAAAGTGTGTAAATACAGAGGTCCCCCAAAAAACAGGAAATACAGAGAGCTGATTCCCATTTTTCCAATTGTATTTTATCCCTTTTATCACAGAGTGAAGAATTTCAGTGTGTGGGACACAGGGTTCCTAACAGTAACCAAAATATTAATGGGATTTTCCTCCCTCCTAGCCTTTCCTTATGGGATATAGGGCTCCACACTGTGTGGATTTCTATATTTACACCCCATGAAAGGTGGGGATTATGTATTTGCACATTTGATTTGTATTTGATGATGTACTTTTAAATCTGTTTGTGTGGATTTCTGTATTTACACACCATTTTTTCTGGGGATTACGACACAAAGAATTACCCAAACAGGTGGGAAATCCAACTCCACCTCCGAACATGCAATACCCTGGGGTTCCTACCTTCACTTTCCCCCATTTGTTTCCATTACCCTGCAGGGTGATAGTTCATTACACAGCATTAACCTGGTTATAGGATCATGTTTCTCATGCAAACAGTCCTGCTTTTCCCTGCAACAGGTGCAATTAGCTCTGGAGGCCGTGCTTAGCTGCGTGAGGGAACACAATAACGTGGCACAGAGGTGACCACCAGGAGCTGCCTGTGGACTAATTGGACTCCATCCAAGCAGCCAGGCTTTATGGAGGGCCTGGCACAAAGTCTGGGATGCTGCTCACTTGACATCTCTCAGGGTTATTCCAAATTGATTGCTTAAATAAGATATAGTTGCTCCTTATTTGGTTTTAAGCAGTAATTCCCCTCACTGCAAAGCCCAGTAAAACACCAAATGAGCTGTGCTGTAAATTGGAGATATTAAGATATTAAGGACACAAATAACTGCGAGCCCCTCAGATATTGAGTCCCACGAGCTGTGTGGGGCAGAGGTGTGATCTGACAGCCCAAAGCAGGGCTGTCTCTGGGGAGAGGCGGCCTGTTAGCCACCCTCACTCGTGCTGCAGCTGACACTGGGCCATTTCAGCACAGCTTCTCCCTCCCTCTGCCCCGCTGTGGGCTTTGAGAGCAGCCTGTCATCGCTGCTTTGGGCAGGATGAAAGGAGCCGGAGCTCCACACCCGGGTTCTGCTGCAGGATCCTCCAAATACCCTCGGTCTTTGTAAGCTGAAACCACTGAAAACCGAGGCCTCTGTTACACAAACTTTAATTATTTAGTTACTTTAATTAACTGCTCATCAGCCTGCTTTTTGTGGCTGTATTTGTTACAGGCCGTGGCAGGCCTCAGAGATACTTTCTGCTCTATGAGCTGTTCAGGATTCACTTTTATGGGGTCACTTTTGCTGCAGCAGCCCTGGCGTGTGGCAGAAAACACCAAAATGTGCAAAACCCAACCTGTGTGGGGCTGGGGGCTTGGGGGAGGACAAGGACCCATCCCTGGAGCAGGACAAATCCCTGGTGAGGACACATCCCCGGATTCCTGCTCCCACCCACACACAGCTCCCACTCTGCTGGCTCCCTCTCATTCACCCACCCCGCAAGAGGGGATGCTTCTCCCTCCAACACTTCCCATTTTCACAAAATTCAACTTTATTTCTGCTGCTGTGCACAAATGCCTCCCCTTTTAAAATTATTTTTGGATTCTGAGGGGTGTGGGGCAGTTAAAAAGATTTTTCCCTTCCCTTTGCTTCTTTAGGATCTCTTACCTGCCAGATTTGTATCCTCTACTAGCTCGAGAACCGTATTCTTTATTCTACAACCTCCTCTTCTCCCCAATTCTCCTTTAATTTAAAAGGTTTCCAATGAACTATTCCGTTTTAAGGACAGCAAATATACCCAGTGGTGTGTTTTAAACCACAGCTCTCAGTAAAAATTACTTACTGAGAAGCCAATGAATTCATCAAGGCCGCTTGCCTTCTAAACATCAAGGCAATTTAATACTAAATATTTTTTAAAAACCCCTAAATAATGATATTCCATACATGATTTCTGCAGATGAATTACTTACTGTAAAGTAAAAATGACTTGCTGAGAAGCCAATAAATTCATCAAGGCTGCCTGCCTTCCTAAATATTGAGGCAATTTTATACAAAATATTTTAAAAAACCCCAAAATAAGGATATAACACATATGAATTTTGCTGATGAATTCTTAGACTCTCAGCAGCCACATTCAGGGCGAGGTTTATTAAAAAAGAATTTTAAAAAAAAGCCCCAAAAAGGCCCAACCCCTGTAAGTACTTTTACGACCCTTTGTGTAAATAACGTTTACATAATTTAAACAGTTTGCTCAGCTTTGCTGCCCCATCTGCCCAAGGCCCCCGAGCCCCCCGCGCTCGGGAAGGGCTGCAGAGCCAGAAGGTCTCGGGGAGCCGGGAGTTAATGGCACGGATCGTTTCCATCCAGGGCATGGCAGTGTGCAGAGCCCGCTCACCATTGAGTGATGAAGTGCACAAATGGCTCCGAGAACTCCCCGGCTGGAAGCACCGGCGATTCCTGGGATTGCAGCGAGACAAGGAGCAGTCAGGAGCAGGCAACAGCTTTTTTTTTTCTTTTTTTTTTTTAGGTGGAAAGCAAAATAACAGCAAAACAAAACACACACACTGAAAAAAAAACCCAAAAAAACCAACACAAAAATCCCCCCAGGAATAATAACCCCAAAAGCCTTCTTTTCACACGCAGGATTTGAGACAGAAAGGTACAAATTCTTTGGAGGATGTGTTATAAAACACTGAATTTCAACTAATGAGTATTACACAATGGGTAAAAACATGTGGAAAGACACTGAGGGGAGGTGAAAAAAGGACAATGATAGCCACAGGGTAAAAAGGAAGGTAGGGAAAGTGTAAATGAGAAATTAATGATTATTTAAGTAACACACAAATGGTCTTGTAATTAACAAAGAGCTGTGAAATTATTCTTGTGTTGACCTTTGTTTCTTTCACTGCATTCGCTATTTATTTACACTCATGTTTATTTACACTTATTCATTTTCCAGGCTGTCCTCATATGCTGCCTG